GGGGGGAGGGGGGTTGGGGGGGTGGGGTTATTATGGACATTGGGGAGGGTATGCGCTATGGTGAGTGCAGTGAAGTGTATAAACCTGGCGATTCACAGACCTGTACCCCTGGGGAAAAAAATATGTTTATAAAAAATAAAATTAAAAAAAAAAAAAACTCAATCTAGTAGGCAATATTGTTTTACAGTTGCAACTCTATTTTAATTTAACCTTTTAAATATGGAAGTTGGCAGTAAGGATTTAAAGCCTCGAAGATTTCATGCAAAACTATATGAAAACTCCATTAAAAATATGACAAGAATCAAAAATTCACAAAAGAAATGCAAATGACTGTTGTACTTAATCTCACAAGTAAAGAAACAGTTATCAATTACAAGACACTAGTTTCAACCTATCAACTTAGCATAAGTTGATAATAGTATTAAATACTGGTGATAATGCGATACATGTTTCAGCTATTCAGAAGAGCATCAAAAACCCTAGAACATGTCTGCTTTACTAGTCAATAACTTCCCTTTTAGGAATTTCACTTTTATGCATGCAACAAATATTTAGTGATTATCTATTTTGTCCCAGCCACTGTGTCATGTGTTTAGAAATGAACAAGCCATCAAAACATAGATCCTTGTCTTTAAGGAAATTATAATGTAAAGAAATAACATAAGGGCTACCAGAAATGTGACCAATTTATACACAAAGATGTTCATCACAGAGTTAGAAATTGGGGAGAAAAAACAATATAGGAAAATCCTGTTTGCCTAATATTAGAAAAATATTTAATACATTATAGTATATGGTTAACTGACATATGGCCAATAAAAATGGCATTTTTGAAGAATATTCAAAGACACAGTAAAATACTAATAGCCTAATTTCAAAAGTTAAAATGCGGCTCTAACACCCAATCACAATTTTGAAGAAAAACATAAGTGGAAAAAAGACTAGAAGGAAACAAAAAATGTTAGCAGAAATCAACTGGCAGCAGGCTTATGGGTGCTTTATTTTTTATTATCTATCCCATTCCATAATTTTAAGTGTTATTGTGCCATATCACACATTTCACAATCAGGAGGAGAAACATGGAGCATGAAAATTTAAAATAAGGTCAGGTAGTGAATCTAAGACAAGAGGAATGAATAATAAAGGATGGGAAAAGATGCTGCTAAATGAAAAAGTATATTAATCCTGAAAGACTACACAAATTCTGAGGCAACTGATTACATACACATGTCAATTTAATTATTGGACTAATGTAAACACGGAAACAGAGAGAGGACAGTTGTCACTCATCTTACTCTAACCACAAGTTGTCAGAGAAGCAACAGATCAGATACCCCCAAAAGTGCACACTGTAATAAAATCATATTTTTTTCCTCTAAGTCAGAGATAAGAGTACTAATTGTTTCAAATAGCTCAAAGGTTCTCCAGAGTCTATCTGAGGCCCATACAGGTCACAACATAAACATGTAAAAACACAAAATTAAATTTTAATCTCATTTGGAATATGGCTTTTAAAAGATCTGGCTTTTTGCTATTGTCGGTGAAATTGATCCAACTGAAATCTAAATCAATATTACGTTACTCTCTTAAAATCAAAGTGAGTAACTAATCACAACTGTTTTATAATTTACCATGATAGCGAAGGTTTGTGTGATGTCTCTCTCTGAAAACAGTAATAAATGCTGGCTGATAAGCTACTTTACACGACTTTCAAATAAATTACGTCACGTAACCCTTTGAAAATAATAATTTTTATAAAACTAAAAATATCATTTGTACCTGAAAATTTATTTAATGGATCCTTACTTCCATTTGCTTCTGCTCCTACACGCTTGAACTGCTGTACAATGGCATTTAATTCAGAAGAGCGCTGAGAGATTCTATGTTCAGCTATTCGAAGACGTTCTTTCAAGGCAAGAAACTCTCGTTGATAAGCAATCAGTTTTTCTAGAAGCAAAACCAGAAGTTTTTAATGTATTTAAAAAAAACAAAACTGTAAGAATAGAATTTTTACAGTCACATTTTTCCAGAAAGATATTCATTTGTGTATTGCTACAGAACTGAAAATAAAAAAGAGCCCCAACCAGTTATATATAACAAAGCCTGCACTAATGTAATGCTCCTTTTTTTTCTTAGCATTAGAAAGCAATTTTTTTTCCCCCCTGAGGCTTTAAACTTTTTTTTTTGTTGTTTAAGTTCAAGTTAGTAAACATAGAGTGTATTACTAGTTTCAGGGGTAGAATTTAGTGATCCTGGTCAGTTGCATATCACACCCAGTGCTCATTACATCAAGTGCCCTCCTTAATGCCCATCACCCAGTTACACCCACCCACCTCCCCTCCAGCAACCCTCAGTTTGTTCCCTAAAGTTAAGAGTTTCTTACGGTTTGTCTCCCTCTCTGTTTTTATCTTACTTTTCCTTTCCTTCCCCTATGTTCATCTGTTGCTCTTCATATCTGTAAGAATGCAAGCGCTTTCATCTTAGCACTTAACAATGGAAAGACAGGGATAAAAGGATGAAAGTTTTTAGAATTAACACTTCAAGCATAATACTAACATCATTTCTCAAAAGGTTCAAACAACTATAAAGACCTTATTTGTGGGGTGCCTGGGTGGCTCAGTTGGTGAAGCATCTGCCTTCAGCTTGGGTTATGATCCCGGGATCCTGGGATCGAGCCCCGCGTGGAGCCCCACATCGCATTGTGCTCCCTGCTCAGCAGGGAGCCTGCTTCTCCCTCTCCCTCTACCTCTGCCTGCCTCTCTGCTTGCTTGTGCTCTGTCAAATAAATAAAATCTTAAAAAAGAAGAAGACCTTATTTGTATTAAGAGAGAGATAAAGTATTGAAACTGATGATAATATATCTAATAATAAATTACCATTTATAGCATAATCATATATTTCCATAGGCCATTTCCTCTGTACTTCCTATTCTGCCAAGATTTCCCTAGGCCAGACTTTGGCCAAATTCCTAAAATAAAAACTCCTAAAAACTCTACTAGGCAGATGTAAAATCAACTGAGATGACCCCCGTTAAAAATCATCCTTTTTTAATTTGAGAGAATCAAAGGTCAGGAAAACCTGGTCTAGTAAATAAAAGTGGATTTTATGAGGATAAATGTAGGCATTGAAACAACCGGCTCAGAGAGACAAAGCGCAGAGTGAGAAGAGCCCTAAGGACAGAACCTGACATAGAAATCTAAGGGATGGTGGGAGAAAAAGCATTCATTAATCACGATCAGCAATGCTGAAAGATAGCTGAGGCTATGGGAGTAGGAGGAGTAACTTCCACAACCTCATTAAACTAAGAGAAACCCTAACAATGGTTTTCAACTTCTGTATCAAGTTAGGTAGGCTACTATTTTGACATCTAAACAAAACACACTTCAGAAAGACTACTTTTTACTTAATATTATTATCTCGGCTTTATTCAAGGATAGACTCAATAAGAAACAGACTTACAAAAAATAAATCTGCATGTTTCATAAAGCTAGTCTTAAAAACAGGCAATTACGTTCTTCTTTGTCCCTTACACAAAAGCCCACACAGTAAACATCTCTTCAGAATTTTGTGGCAGGGGGAAAAAAAAAGTCTACCCTGCTTAACTGTCATTCTTCCTTATATTGAACAATGACAGGCATGTAAACAGCTGTATTGCCCCTTAACTTGCTGGCTTTAGGAGGGAAGGAACGACAAAGCAGGCTGTAATTAGGTCAGACATAAAGGGAGTTTCCAGGTAACCAGCAAGGTCCTAATGACTGACCTGGGTAGTGGCCCAATAAAATTCATTATTATGCATTCATAGTTTAGGCACTTGTCCATATGTATAAACTCATTAAATAAAAGAAATGTCAAAAAAGATGCTATTCACAAACACGAAACTATCAACAATTATATTCTAACAAAAACAGTAACAATTGTAACAAGAGATACCCAAGATTCATGTGATGAAAACTACAAACCCCTTACTGACACCTGTAAGAGTAAATGAAATCATTGCTTAATCCTAAGTGAGAAGTCTCAAACTTGTAAAATAATTATAATAATAAAATAAATTTAAAAATAAAAATGAATTCTACCCTAAGTTAAATAATAAATTCAGTTCAATACCTTTCAAATAAATAATGAAACTTCTTTGGAATATGACTTTTCTATATGTGATCCTAAAATTCACCTAGAGGAGAGAATCTGTTTAAAGAGGGAAAAAAGGGCACCTGGGCGGCTCAGTGGGTTAAGCATCTGCCTTTGGCTCAGGTCATGATCTCAGGGTCCTGGAATCGAGCCCCACACTGGGCTCTCTGCTCAGCAGGGAGCCTGCTTCCCCCTATCTCTGCCTGCCTCTCTGCCTACTTGTGATCTTGTCTGTCAAATAAATAAATAAAATAAAGAGAAAAAAAAATAATAAAGGGGAACTCGCTCTGAGATCAGAAAACACTGGAAGTCTATAGAAATTAAAACACTGTGGACTGCCAGGTCCAGAAAGCGTGGACAAGAGCCGATTACACCAAGCAGGCGGTGTCCAAAATCAACACTAGTGAACAGTCCTTTCAGTTCTTCCCTTTCAGCAAGTTAAAATCCTCTCGCGAACAGTCACGCAGTGCTGAGATTGTGGTTTCTTGACACCACCCACCCAAAAGAGAATTAGAACTCTCTGGAGGATAAGTTTAAGATGAACCTGAAACAATCTGGTATAAAATAAGAAAACGCTGTTTAAAAAACACCACCACCACCACCACCACCACCACAGGACTTGCTAAAAGGGCACAGCAAGGTACCTGAGGGGCTCCTGACCAAATCCTGGACAAATTTAAGCACAAAACAAATACTGATAGTAACAGATGAGGGAAATGGGTTTCTTTATAGCAGGATGCCAACTAGTAAATGAAGAAGGAATGATTAATGTTGGAAAAATCACCATTTCGCAGCTATCAGAGAAATAACTGATTCAGGCAAAAATCAAAAATGGATGCTTAGACCAGCAGGTGAGAGTGTGCTGATGAAAGGGCTATGTATGTCACCTCAGAGTATCTCCCCAAAAAGTGCTCATTACTTACAAAGGGAAAAATATGCTTACGTTACCATGGAGAAACCTGGTAGATACTTTGCTTAAGTGATCAAAGTTCCCATCAGCAACCAGAAAACGGACATGACATGCCTGCTGATGTGAGGCACAGAGGACACACCTTATCCTTGTGGCATTCCTGCCAAAAGTACATAATCTGAATCTAATCTCAAGGAAACATCAGACGCATCCAAACTGAGAGACAAGGTACAAAATAAAAAGCTCGTACTATAAAAAAAAAAAAAAAAAAGTCACCAGTCATCGAAGACAAAAGGCTCGTGAGGAACTGCCACAGATGAAGAGACTGAAGGAGCCATGAAAACTCAATGCAAAACACAGTCCTGGGCAGAAACCTGGACCAGAAAAGCTAAACCCTACAAAGAACATTACTGGGGGAAAAATAACAGAATATAGGCTAAAGACAAGATACTATGCCAAAGTTAAATTTCCTAAGTTAGATTCTCATACTGAAGTATTTTACAGAATTCCTTGTTCCTAGGAAATAAATATTAAATTAGTTAGGGATTAAAAAGCATGATTTCTGTAATTTATACCCAAATAGTGCTGAAAAGAAACAAATTATCTCAGAGAGGTGACAGAGACAAAATAGTCATAAGAGGTGAGATCTATAAAGTCATTTTGTGCTGCCCTTGTAACTCTTCTTCATTTGAAACTTAAAAAAAAATTTTTTTTTTTTTAAATTAGGACTAGAAGGCATACAGGTTAGGTCTTTTAGCAGCGCTGGATTGGGTGGGATATGGACCTGAAAGCAGTCTCTGTGTCCTTCTATGCATTTTCTTGGTACTTTCTTGAAACCACTTTCCCAAAGGAAGCTTTTGGCCAGCTTCACCAAATAGGGAGAGTAACCATTACAGCCAGAGAAATGTCCCCAGCCCTTACTCCAAAACACTGATCTGCTTTGAGGTGGCCAGGCCATGCTCCTGAAAAGATCCCTTGGGCCCATGGAGTACTGGATAAAGCCCTAAGTATTTCCTGTCAGCCCAGATGCTAGTGCTGCTGTTAGCCCAAAGTCCACAGCTATGAGAGGGCTCTAAATGGATCATTTCCCATCTCTCACATCCATCCTTGGTTTCTAACTCCATATTTCTATATTAAAAGGGTTCTCTCCAGACATCACAGCAAGTCTGTACTCCATCTAGAATGCCAGGTCAATGAATTAAAGTATGCGTGGTAAAGCCCTTAGCTAGACCTGCCAGGATACCACAGAACACTATTGGCTCCTCTCAACAGAGAAGAGTTATATATAATTTCCCCACAGCCCCCCTTGGAATGCAGTCTATCCTCTGTCATCTACCCAAACACAGGCTCACTAGTGATTTCTAGAATTTTCTCTACCTATATTTCCCATAGTATTATGCTGCTCCCTTAAGGAGAGTGATAGATCATCCCAGATCAAACTAGTGATCACATGTTTGACGATTCTCTGTTTCAACATTAGTAACATAATTCTTATTTTTGCTTTTCTTTAATCACTTAAATCAGTTTCTACTGGGGGATTGGGAGGAAACTGTGTGGGAACTCATACTATCATCTTACTAGGAAATGTCTAGTTTTGTTTGTTTTGTTTTTATTGTAGACCGAATCTAACTTTTTTTAATTGTAGAAAATTATATATCCAGATGAGACAATGAAAGTACAAATCATGCTGCATGAACCTAAGACTCTGAAACATACAAAATTTCCAAAGAAATCACTTTAATTCCTTCCAAGCAAATAATCAAGCCAGTTTTCCAGGGAAAAGTGTACCTATGGTTCCTCAAAGACTTATCAGGTTGACCCATATGAAACTGCTGATATTTGATCATTTTTTACAAAAATGTCAATTTCATGTGGTTCAAAAATTTAAAAAAAACAGCTTTGGACCCAA